GTATTATTGAAAGAATTGTGCAGCGGACCCCCATTGCATCCACCACTTAGATTCTACAATGAAATTTACTCGCCATATGACGTATCTAGTCTCCTATCCTCCCCTCTGTCCACCCCTCAATCTACCTTACTTTTTGCTGACCTTCAAAGCAAGTTGCAGACATCTGTACACCCACTTATCCCTGTGTATTTTGTTAACTAAAGTTCAAGATATGTCTCTATTATTTTTTCTTTTTCTTTCTTTATTTTTTGCCTGAGTCAGGTCTGTAGTTTGCGGCACGCGGGCTCTCTAGTTGAGGCACCCAAGCTCAGTAGTTGTGGCACGCAGGCTTAGTTGCCCCAAGGCATATGGGAGTCTTAGTTCCCCGACCAGGGATCGAACCTGCGTCACCTGCATTGGAAGGCAGATTCTTTACCACTGGACCACCAGGGAAGTCCCCAAGATATGTCTTTTTGATAGAACCTGTACTTAAAAATGTTTCCCCAGGGAATTCACCCTGGTGAAGACCCAGGATAGTGGGTAAGACCCCACCTTATCTGGGGTCCTGATTATTGAAAGACACGGGAGAGGGATGCTTTGTTCCAGATGAGGATTGGAATCCCTGGCCCTACCTCTTACCAGCTGTGTGGTTTTGGGCAGGTCACATCACCTGTCCAAGCCTCAGTTTCCCCATCTATAAAATGGGCTTAAGAAAAGCACTTACTAAAGAAGATGTGGCACATATATACAATGGAATATCACTCAGCCATTAAAAAGAATGAAATAATGCCGTTTGTAGCCACATGGGCGGACCTAGAGATTGTCACACTGAGTGAAGTAAGTCAGAGAGAGTAAGGGAAATATTGTATGATATTGCTCATAAGCAGGATCTAAAAAGAAATGGTACAAATGAACTTACAAAACAGAAACAGATTCACCGACTTAGAGAACAAACTCATGATTACCGGGGGGAAGGGTGGGGGGAAGGGATAGTTAGGGAGTTTGAGATTGACATGTACACGCTGTTATATTTAAGCCTGCGAGCCACAACTACTGAGCCCGCGCGCCACAACTATTGAAGGCTGTGCGCCCTAGAGCCCGTGTGCCACAACTGAAGGCCACACACTCTAGGGCCTGTGTGCCACAATTACTGAGTCCGTGTGCTGCAGCTGCTGAAGCCCACACGCCTAGAGCCTGTGCTCAGCAACAAGAGAGCCACCGCAGTGAGAAGCCCTCTCACCACAACAAAGAGTAGCCCCTGCTCGCCGCAACTAGAGAAAGCCCGCTCACAGCAACAAAGACCCAACGCAGCCAAAATAAATAAATAATAAAATAAAATAAAATGGATAACCAACAAGGACCTACTGTACAGCACAGGGAACTCTGCTCAATATTATGTAACAACCTAAATGGGAAAAGAATTTGAAAAAGAATAGATACATGGGATGGCTAGTGGGAAGCTGCTGCGTAGCACAGGGAGATCAGCTGGGTGTTTTGTGACGACCTAGAGGGGTGGGATAGGAAGGGTGGGAGGGAGGCTCAAGAGGGAGCAGAAACTAACACACCATTGTAAAGCAATTATACTCCAATAAAGATGTAAAAAAAAAAAAAGAATAGATATGTGTATACCTGAATCACTTTGCTGTACACCTGAAACTATAACATTGTTAATCACCTATATTCCAATATAAAATAAAAAGTTTAAAGAAAAAGAAAAGCAAAGCACTTACATCTTAGGGTTTTTCTGAAGAGTCACAGACTCTGCACGTGAAGCGTCTGGCATGGTGTTTAGTACATAGTAAGCACTTGGCTAATGACAGTTTTGCCATTTTGTAGATGTTACTGCGTGGATAATCTTCCAGAACAAACTCTTTTCCTTGGGCACTAGGGTTTGGTTTTGTTCCTGGCAATCAGAAGCGTTTGGGGCCTGATCTGCCCAGGAACTGGTGAATGTGTAGGTTGAGTGTGAGGCCAAGGCCCAAAATTCCCCTTGCCTTACCTTTGTCCTCAAGGTGGCAGGAAACCCCCTTGCAGGAGTCTTTGATGTCACTGGGAAGCTGGGGCCCAGGAAGGCCCTACATAAGTGTGATTGGCCCCTTTATTGGGGCCTGTGAAGGCTAGTGTGTCACTGCTCCACCAGGGTTACCTGCCTGGCTGCTGTTGGCATCAGAGTTTAGACCCCTGATCTGCTGGTGAGGCGGACTCAGACTCAAGTATTTATGGTTCAAGACAGAATGCAGTGAGTCTGTAGATGCCAGCAGTGGCTCTCAGCAGGCGGTGATTTCACCCTCCAGGGGACATTGGCAATGTCTGAAGCCACTTTTTTGTTTGTTTTGCGGTACGCGGGCCTCTCACTGTTGTGGCCTCTCCCGTTGCGGAGCACAGGCTCCGGATGCGCAGGCTCAGCGGCCATGGCTCACGGGCCCAGCCGCTCCGCAGCATGTGGGATCCTCCCGGACCGGGGCACGAACCCGTGTCCCCTGCATCGGCAGGTGGACTCTCAACCAGTGCGCCACCAGGGAAGCCCTGAAGCCACTTCTGATTGCCACCTTGAGGAGAGTACTACTGGCATCTAGTGGGTGGAGGCCGCGGATGCTGCTCAACATCCCACAGGGCACACAGGACAGCTCCCTCAACACAGGATTACCCCGCCCCAAAAGTCAGTGGGGCTGAGGCTGAGAAACCCTGGATTAAGGGTGTCAGCAGCCTGGTCTGGAAGGGAGGGGTTGACTCCAGTTGTGGGCTCAAGAATGGCTCCCTGAAGAGAAGTGGTCTTGGTGGTGGCAGGCATGTGGTGACTGAGTTAGCTGGGAGAGACTGGGGGAAGGCATGTCGGGCAGAGAACAGCATAAGCAAAGGTACTGAGACATCTTTTTTTTTTTTTTTTTTTTTGGTACGCGGGCCCCTCCCTGTTGTGGCCTCTCCCGTTGCGAAGCACAGGCTCAGCGGCCATGGCTCACGGGCCCAGCCGCTCCGCGGCATGTGGGATCCTCCCGGACCGGGGCACGAACCCGTGTCCCCTGCATCGGCAGGCGGACTCTCAACCACTGCGCCACCAGGGAAGCCCCTGAGACATCTTTGATGGGGAGATGGGCGATAGTGTGGAGAGTGAGATGGCAGATGTGGTTCAAGGAGCATGAAGTTTGGGGTCAGATGGACTTGGGTTGAGTCCTGGCTCCACCCCTCGCTAGCCGTGTGGCCTCAGCCTTGTCATTAGCCTGAACCTCAGTTTCATCATCTGTAAAATGGGGGTAAGAAGTGAGGTTATGTAGGTACAGCCTCCTATATCCCCACTCCTCTGTTTGCACTCTGTGTCCCAGCCGTGCTGATATCCTGGCAGTTTGCTCAATGCTTCCTGCTCGCTCTCCTTTCTGGGCCCTCCTTGTACATTTTGCTCTGCCTGGAGGGATGCTCATATTCCAGGTGGAGGAATGACACCATAGGAGGTTATAAACTGGGACACCCCTCAAGCTCCATGCGTGTTGCTGGCAGAGTGATCTTTCCAAAACACTAGTCTGAACATATCAGTGCCCAGTGTGTGTGTGTGTGTGTGTGTGTGTGTGTGTGTGTCCGTGTGTCCGTGCACACACACACACAAATTTGAAGGCCAAGAGAATGGTGGGAAATTCCCAGGCCTTTACTTCAACTCCCTTCCCCATCACTTTTCTGGCCTTCAGGTGCCTTGGGGAAGGCCAGTGGGGACTCACCAGGCTTGAAGGGGGTGGGATTCTCTCTTGGTTAAAATCTCTGCTTCCTTCTCAAGTTAGAAGCCTGGTTGCTCTACAACTTAGGGTTGAGGTATAGAGGCCAGGATCCCACGGAGGCTACTGCCAGAGAGGCTGTGGGCAAGCCACCTAGCTTCTGTGAGCCTTCGTTTCCCCCTTTGTAGAACAGTATTTACAGGGTGTGGGTACATGGGATACTCCCTTTAAAGCTCTTAGGTCAGAACCTGGCTGAGTATTTCTTAGCTGCTTTATAAAGATCGACCTCTTGGTGAATACCCTCTGTGAGCCAGGTATTGCGGGAGGCCCTGGGAGGACAAAGTCTTCTGACAACTGGTCTTGATTTACAGGATTGCTTGGTTTAGGATTTGTGGATTTGACTGATTGGGGACATGCAATTTTTAGGGAGCAATTCCATTTCTAGAAAGTTATCTGAAACATGCACAAAGATTTAGCTCTAGATAGGTTCACAGTAGCGACTTATAAAGTGAAAAACTGGAAATAGCCTAATGTCCACCTCTAGGATATTGGTTAGGTAGGTGATGAGACAAATAGAATCTTAACGCAGTCATTCAAGAGGACGCAGAGGGATATTTGTTGATATGGAAAGATGTTTATTATTAAGTGAAAGTAATATACAAAACAATATTTGTGTATAAAAATATATATACACATGTATATAGTTTAAAACCTGAATGCTAATACACCAATAGTGGGTAGATATCTCTGAGTGATTTTTACAATTCTTTTCTTATTCTAGATTTCCTTTTCTAAATTTTCTACAATGAACGTGCATTCCTTTTGTGAAAAATATAGTAATATATCTTATTAACTTTTGAATTATTTTGTTATTAAAATATAATAAATAAAAATAGTAATAAAAGAAAGGGCAATTTTACTAGCTGTTCCTGTCCCTCTTTACAGCCTTATCTCTCGACTCGATTCTTGATAACTCCCAATAAACATAGGCTCACCATTGCTACAATCCATTTCAGTATTTGCAGGTTATTTGTTAGCCTCAGAGAACCGTACTAGGCAAGGCGATATAAAGATGAATACTCACATTCTCCAGATGATTTGCGTGCACGCCAAATTTTGAGGTGCCTGGAAACAGGGAGTTCTGTACCTCCCTCCATTTATTTTTTTCTCTTTTAATTCATTTCATCCATTCCTAGCTTGCGGGTCGGTTATTTACTTTACGTACGCCTGCGCACTCCTGGGGTGGGAGTGGGGCCGCTCTGTCCGGCGGCCCCGCCTCCCAACGCCGACCACTGGCCGGCTCCGCCAGCGCGCCCTGATTGGTGGCTGCGGACCGGGTCTCGCCGCTCATCAAGGTTGGCGGGAAAGAGGAGGCGGGGCAGAATGGCGGCGGCGCCCACTGCCTCCTCGCCCGGCGGGTGCCCCACGGCTGTGAGGCTGCCGCGGTCGCCGCCGCTCAAGGTTCTGGCGGAGCAGCTGCGGCGCGACGCGGAGGGCTGTCCGGGCGCGTGGCGGCTGTCGCGGGAGGCGGCGGGCCGCGGGCTGCTGGAGCTGACGGCCGTATGGATGCAGGGCACGGTGTTGGCGGCGGGCGGCGGCGAGGCGCGGCTGCGGGACCCGAGCGGGGCCTTCTCGGTTTGCGGCCTGGAGCGGGTGCCGCGCGGGCGGCCCTGCCTCGTCCCAGGTAACAGCCGGAGTCGACACCGCGGCTGACCCTGGGTTTGTACCGCCCTCGGGCGGGGCCTGGCCGTCCCACCTCCCGGTGTTTGCGGTGCTGGTCCCCCGCCTCGATACCCTTTTCTTCCCTCCCCTCCCCAACCAAGCGCCACCCAAGCAGTTCTGACGATAAGCATCACCTGCAGGCCATTCAAAAAATAGTTTCTGAGGACTCCACCAGCCCTCCCAGCTGGAGTCTCCGGGGGAGGGACCCCCAGCATGTGTATTTGTTAACAGAGTCCCTTCCCCACGGGTGATTTTTTTTCTCCCTATCAAGTTTTGGAAAATATCATAGTGGGGAACTTGGTTCATCCCTAACGACTCTACTCAAATGTACCTTCCTTTGGGAAGCTCTCCCCAGTTCCCAGGAATGAGGAGCCCTGCTGTACCCCTCCTTCGTGGGACTGTCTTAGGCTGTAGTTCACTACTGTTTCCTTTTAAACCAGTGGTGCGGCAAATTTGAGCCTGCATCCGACTCACCCTGAGGGCTTGTTAAGACTGACGGCTGGGCACCACCCTCAGAGTTTGAGTCTGTTGGTCTGGGCGGGGCTGAGAATTTGCGTTTCTAACCAGCTTCCAGGTGCTGCTGGTGCCGGTGGCCTGGGGGCCACACTTTGAGAACCACTGGGCCAGACTATGGCAGGGCGGGCTCTGTGTCTTTCTGACAACCATTCTCAGTATTAGGTTGAACTTTTTCTGGCCCTGGCCCTTTCTGGCTGAGCTCCCAGGAGCGCTTTTCTTAACCTTTCTGGACCCCTTACCAAAGGGACCAATAATTCCTGCCTGTTGTGTGGATTCAATACATTTTAAAAATGTCCTTACCACAGCTCCTAGGCCATAGTGACCGATGTTTTTTTACTAGGCAGTGCTCCTGCACGCTTGTCACCCCACCCTGGCGCCATCCTTCAGCCTCCCTCTCTGTCTGCCCTCCATTGCAATGTTAGTCTAGCACAAGATCGGCAAACTACAGGCTGCCACCTGTTTTTGCACGGCCCATGAGCTAAAAATGTTTTCAAATGGTTAAAAAAAACCCAGAAGATTTCATGACATGGGAAAAGTATCAATATATGAAATTCAAATATCCGTGTCCATAAGTAAAGTTTTATTGGGGCACCGTCATTTAGGTATCGTCTAGGGCTGTTTTCCCATTACAGCTACAGATCTGAATAGTTGCAACAGAGACGCGATGGCCTCAAAGCCTGAAATATTTAGTATCTGGCCCTTTACAGAAAAAGTTTGCCACCCTTGGCGTAGCATGTAGCACGAGGTGTTTGGTGTGCTGGTCCCCAGGCAATGCTCTTTGAAGGCAAGCTGGGGCTGTCTCCCATGTCTGGCCCCAGCCCTGGCATAAGGTTGGCACCAGTAGGTACCTGAGTGGGCATTGCACGTTGGTGAACCCATCTGACTTACCTACTGGCCTGTGTGCCTGGGCCGTACCATTTCCTCTTGCTAATTAATACCAGGGCTTGATTGACAAGTCTGACGCTGGCTTCAGGTAGGGAGCCTGAAGAGTAAGCAGGCCACTGAAACAAAGTGATGTCGTGGGCGCAGAAGAGGGACAACTGATCCAGGCCTGTATGGTCAGGGTGAAGGCCTGATAGAAGGGAGCGGTGTGATGGGGAAGGAGAAGGAGAGACAGTGAAGAGACACTCTGGCTGGGGGAGAGAGTGTGGGTAGAATGAACCAGACTAGTAACCAGGTGGTCTGTTCTTGGGAGGAAAGAGCTCAGGCCTTTGAGTTCACCCGTATAGTTGTGTTATACGCCTTGGTGTATGTAGGTTTTGAGTACGTGGATTCTGTGTTTACCTCGCCTGTTGGGACTGTCTGTGGGCTTGTTCTTCCTTTCCAGGGTCTTCAGTCATTTTCTGAGGGCTCCATCTCCACCAGCTTTTTAGGCCCATTCAGAGGGTATGACAAGTGTATTTTCAGAATGAGCCTCTGTCGCTGAGGAACCCCACGTTACTTGCTCAGGTAGAATGTAGGGATGGGCTCAGGGAAACCTTAGTACGCCGTGCCAGGAGCTGATAGACCAGAGGGTAAGGTGTCAGCCTGCCTGGCTTCCTTCAGTCAGAGCCCCAGGCCCGAGTACAAACCCAGTCCTGATGTTGGAAGCAGTGTGATTAAAGCAGCCTCGCAGGGGCACTCAGTGGGGGCTGGCGACGTGCCTGCTCTTCCTGCTGTGTTTGGGGTTTTTTACACAGTTGAGTTTTGTGTGGTTAAGACTGGCCATTTTTGCTTTCAAGGAGAGCCACTTCCCCAAGGGAATGGGAATAGCGTCGTGGTTAATATGTCACTAGATCCTTGTGATGGCAGCCTGCCCTCTTGTTGATTTGCTTGTGTATGCCCAGCTGGCGGCAGGAGGTGGCAGGCATTGGTCCCAGGCAGTTGCAATAACGGTGGCATGGGGGTGCTACCACCTGCCCAGCTCTTTTGGCAACATAAAGGGAAAATTGGATTTGCTTTGGGGCTGTCAGGGGTTGTCTTTGCAGAAGGGGGACCAGTCCTGTGCACAGAGACCAGTCACAGGCTCTGGCATGGAGCAAGGAACAGGGAGAAGAGAAAAGCTCGGGTTTTCAGGCCCCGCCTTAGAGCAGTCTGTCTAATTACAACTCTTCCTCTGATGTGAGAGACTCTTCCACTCTTTGGGCGTGATAGCTTTATGCAGTGTGCTGTGATTTTGTTTTAGCATTTTATTTTATTTTAATATTTGTTTATTTGGTTGTGTGGGGTCTTAGTTGCGGCTCACTGGCTCCTTAGTTGGGGCACGTGAACTCTTAGTTGTGTTATGCATGTGGGATCTAGTTCCCTGACCAGGGATCGAACCCGGGTCCCCTGCACTGGAAGTGCAGAGTCCTGTCCACTGCGCCACCAGGGAAGTCCCTGTTTTAGCATTTTAAAACCAGAAACCAAAGAAGATACAAATGTCATTCTCCAGGTTAAATGCGGAATTTGTTGGCAATATATGTATTTTGACCACTAGCTGCCTTGGCACTTTGGTATCTACTCTCTGCTTTTTTTTTTGTCTCCAGTTTGCCTCCCTGATAAATTTAAGCCCTCTCAAGGACTTCAGGTGTCTGTTTTGTTTTTATCTTCTCTATCAATGTGAACTTTACCACTGGGCTTTTCTTCTTCTAGGAAAGTATGTGATGGTGATGGGAGTGGTTCAGGCCTGCAAACCGGAGCCACGCCTGCAGGCTGTGAAGATGACAGATCTTTCTGATAATCCCCTCCATGAAAGCATGTGGGAGCTGGAAGTGGAAGATTTACACAGGAATATTCCTTAGAGGATGTTGGAAACGTCGATAAAAACAACCGAAATTCAGAAACAACTTAGGTTCTTATACCGTATGGATTTCATGGACATCACTCAATATGTATTTCTCAAAAGTTTATCAGAGAGCTTTGCTTCGAGGAGTCTGGATGTAGGATTTCTAAATGCTGGGACACTCCAGTGAACTCAGCCCCTGCTGCCCCTTGCTATGACTGTTTGCTGATGAAAAGCAGATGTTTTGTTCTCTTTTTCCTCTCCTTTTTTTTTTTTTTTTTTTTTTTTTTTTTTTTTTTTTTTTTTTTTTT